ATTAACAATTATTATTCATGTATTAATTGGCAAATTCTTGACAGACATCGCAGGACTCAAGTATGTCGTGCTCTCGTCAGGACTCGTCGTCGACATCCACTTACACGAGTCGTATCTCGCGATCGTCCTTCAGTAGCGAGTCTTCGAGCAAACAGACAGGCATTAGTAGTTCCAGTACTAGTAGTAGTAGTGGTGGCGCCGGACCCTCAGGTGTGGTGAAACAGGAATTGGTAACCAAATCACAACTCATTAAACAGACATCATTTGAAGACATCAAACAACATAAACCGCCGCCAATTCGGACAGAAGGCAGCGGCTATTTATGTCACAACTGTTCCCGAAAAGACTTTTCGCAGCAAAATATTTCGCCAAAGAATATTAAATTCAAAAACAAAGAATTGGAAGAAAAATTCAATTGTTTTTATAACCGATTGGCCGAAGCGAGTCAGGAAGAGACCAGCGATGGTCCCGAACCGGTCATTGTGTCCTCCGAATCGACAGTCGGCGACAATAAACTTGACTTAAGTACTCAAAGCAGAGACACCGCCGAGACTTCATTACAGGACAGCATAATATCTCACGGTTTGGATCTTTAGTATAAGTTATGGGTATTTGAATTTAATTGTATTTCATCTTTAGATCCCGAGAGCCCACGGCTGAGGCCATCGATAGAAATCGGAGCCCAAACGCCATCCACTGATAAATCATTTGATGATTTCGATGGTTTGTGTCAAAGCAGAAGCCATTCGAGTCAAAGCACCAAAACTGCCATTCATTACAGTCGGGAAACCATTAAAGACCCGAACAGACTGGACATCAGTCCCGATAACATCAGCAAAACTCATAGTATGACAGACTTCGGCGCCAGTGATGGCAATAAACATAAGGCGCGAAAAGTTTCGTCGGAAAACTCTCTGAAAAAGTTGTCGATAAAAAACTTGCCGTCGCTTTTGAGATCGTTGTCGAGTCAGACAAATATCAATAGTAATAAGAAACGACTGAAGACATTAAATCGACGCAAAATCGGTTTACATTACAGATCAGCCGATAATATGACTCATTTGGAGTCCAATTCGTGTGAAGCCATCAATCATCAGATGTCGGACACGATTCTCAACAAAAGGAGATCCACTGCTTTTGAATTGTATGAAATCAATCGCTTTGAATGCGCCGATTGTGAGGACATTAGCCATCAGATTGTCTGCAACGAAGAGAGAGTCGAACTCATGAGTGATAAGACATTAAGTGATAATAGCGGTAGAGATAAAGATAAAGATAGCGCTGTTTCGAAAGAAAATGAGCAAAAAGTTTCAGAAAGTAGTGGTTTTACTACGAGTGAAGACATGCCTCTTATAGGGGCTCCTAATCTATAATAAGCCTCCAATGGTTACCATTAAGTGATTTGATTGTATTGTTTCTTTGAATCCACCGATTGTTTCAATGGTTTGTCCTGTGATTCAAATATCAATTGGGTTTTTGATGTGTAAATCAATTCAATTTACAATTTTTCAAATTATTGTTTACTTTATATCACTTTATAATTATTTGTACAGAAAATACTCTAATATTTACTCTTTAAGACTCAATATTTAACATTTAGTTTAATTATTAGAATTTAGACAAATATTTACAATAATTTATCCAAAGGTTATATTTAAATATTTCCAGAAAGTGATGGAAAATACGTAAAGAATTTGAGTAACAAAATGTTTACTAAAGAATATTCTATATTCTTAATGGATATGTAATGTCATTGAGAGTTAGGATTGTATGAGTATTTTGAAGGGAATGAAACCTCAATCAAATTGATTGCATAATATATAGCATTTTAATGTCAGTATTTTAAGTAATATTTTCTACGATAAACTCAAATAAATTGAAAACAAGTTTTACATTAAAGAATTTGAACAAAAATTGTCGTTAAATTTAAATGTATTGATATATCTATTTATAACGAATGATGAAAAGGAAATATCATTTTAATAAAAAATACTATTTAATATGTATTGTGTTATGAATTTAAGTACAATTATCGAGTAAATAGTCATTACTGAGAGAAAGTCATCATAATTTCAATTTTGGTAATTTTATTATACATATTATACATATTATTATATAATCATTGAATGTTATTTATACTGTGCTGTGATATACTGTATATTTCCCCTAATATTTCATCAATTGTTTACTCTTTAAATGTTTTTTGAATCCATTTTTAAATACAATAATAACTTTATTTAATTTAATAATTCAATGTTACTGTATATCCATTTATATCCCATTTATTCTCATTTTTCAATAAATTATTAGACATTTTATTTAAAACTGTTTTGTTGTTTCATTTGTCTACAAACTAAACATAAAACCATATTTAAACGCCTTTTAAAGACAAAAAGTTATTAAATAAAGTTTATCTAAACTATTGGTTTACATATGAAATCAGTTTCTAAGTGAACGCTATCATCAGAAAACCTACACTTTTGTTATAACAGTAAAACCATTTCTGTTATGAAAGAAACACTTTTGAATTTAAATGTATTGTATTTTTTATTTAACATTATTATAAGGAAGTATTAGTCACACAAAATAATCAATTCTGTGGTATTCAATGGTTATGTCAATGAATTAATTTCTAAACTTAACTTTTAAAGTTTCAGATTTTGGTTTTTACTATACATGATATCCATTAATATTATAATTAATATTTACTATAATGATAAAGAATGTAGAGATAATTACATTAAAAATATATGTTTAAATACAACATTAATGTAATTAATAGTTTTGAATATTGTTTTAATAGTTTTTATTAAATTCTTTGATTAAATTCATTTTATTTGTATCTTTTGAACGAATACCAGAAATAAACTAAAACTACATTTAATTCAATTGAATTGAATTCATCATCATTTTTAAGTTGTAAATAAAACGGTTTGTCATTGTGTTTGTGTTTTGGGTTATAATTATAAATATATTCTCACTTTTTATCGATGTTTATATTTTAGCCCTTTTTTGGCGATCCATTCATTTGAAAGACAATTGAGTGGCAAAACTGATGAAATGATTTTGTAAGTGAATGAATGAATTTGAAAAAAGTTTTGTTGAAAATAAGTGACAAAAACCCTTTTATAAAACTGGCGGACGAAACAGTATTAGCGGATAAGTCCAGAAAAAGTGAACCGGTATTTGTGGTCAGGTGTCCCAAATTGGTTTGCGNATTGTGTGATAATAGCCGTCATATTCACCACAATAAAGCTGATGAACGCATATCTTCACCGACTCTTTGATTTCGGAGAATGTGTTGTCGAAGAAAATTCACTCAATTCTAAGGCATGTCTTCCACTCATTGTCTGACCATTTGGTGAATCCAATGACACAATTAATTGATTGATTCATTTCTCTTCGCATATCTTTAGGAACAATCAGATGACGAGAATTTTGTGAATCAAATGAAAGGCTTTGAAGGAAACGATAAATCAGTGAAAAACAGTGAAGCGATGAAAGAAAATATCGAAATGATTGTAATCGCGGACAATACTAATGGGAACCAATCGACCACAAGAACTGAATCCATTGCTCTCTTTCACAGCAACTTAAGTAATAGTAATATCAACGATAATAACAGCAATGATTGCATTGAGAGAATGGCCGCAAATAACACGACTTCGAGTGTCATTGATCTCGAGGTCGATGTCCACCACAGAAACAGTTCTGGTTCTTCGATCGGCATCTCTTCAGAGCCGTCTAAGAGTCACAGCGAGACTATCAACACATCGGAGATCGCGGTCAGCAATAGTCCCACTTTAATGACAGCACCGGCACTACTGTTGGGCCAAAACTGTGAGTTTATGTCTGAATTGGCGGTTGATTTGGAGTCAAACGAATTTGTGTCTCATCTGAACTCCGGAAGTGATATGAATATAACGGATGACACGGAAAGTTGTGAGAGACTGAAGGGTACGTCACTTGAGTTGGGATTTATGGCTCAGGACCCGGCAGTGCTCAGGGCTCAGACCAATGCAGCCAATGATCCGCCTTCGAGTCGCAAACGTGTGGACAATATTGTCCGCAGAGCTCGCAGTGAATTGGAAACAACTCAGTGTTCAGCAGACAAACGAATCTCATCTCTTCCGCCGTCACATCCCGTGAGTCTTGAGATAATCGGCACAACAAGAGTGGACAGCAGTTTAGTGGACGCGTCCAATGATGACAACGAGAATATGTTGAGGAGAACGACACCAAATCTGAACGAAAATATATCGATGTTTAGCCAACAGAACAAAGACTGCATCAAAGCCTCAAATAGTCCTAAACTGAGTTCTACTAAATATGAGACCATAAGTAGTTCTCCCGTCCTTTCAGAGCAAACGACCAAAAGTTTGGGTGAAAAAGAAGCGCATGTATTGATTGAAGTGGAGACCACTCAACCCAAGAAACCCAAAACCAGTGATTGCGATGACGGCGACGAAAGTGATGTCTCTCTCGTCGTTAACTTCTCGGCAAAAGTCAAGAAACGAAAGGTTCAGAAGTCATCAAAACCGCGGAGAACTTTAAACAGAAGAAAAGTGTCGAAGTCTTGCAGTTCTGGAAAGATTTCGATGAATAAAAAGTGTGATAAAGTGTTGCCATTCATTGATAATACCATTTCGAGTAACGAATTAAACAAAAAAGCTCTGCAAATATGCTTTTCCAGTGAATCAGATATTGAAAGCAGTCATAACGGAAGCGATTCCTATACATCCAGAAGCAGTTCTCTTACATCAAGTCATTCGTCAACCTCTTTGAACGACGAAACCACTCCATTGACCGCTTCATTGCCACCAGAAATGGATAATAAGAGCAACGCTTCCAACTCTCGCAACAACTCTATAGCACTCGAGCCTAAATGTATTGCCGGTCCTTCAAAGCAGACTTCATATGATAATAAAAGTGATTTAATTAAAAAACTTTCTGAAATGCCATTTAAAACCGAAAGCGAAGACTTTGTACAGAATAATGAACTCAAGGTTTTGAGGAATGAATTACAGAGAAAAAGAAAGAGTTCTAAGAGAATGGATCCGAACGCCAGCTTTTATTCGCAACAAAGTATGGTTCAGTCGGAACCCAATAATGATTTGATTGCCGGCGCCTCTCATATAAGTGGTGTGGAATCGTCTCAAAACATTAACGCAGACAACGGTCCGCCGCCTTATATGTTGGCTCGCATTCTGTCGGCTCCGGGAACTCATTTGGCGAAATCACACGAAGACACTAATATCGGTGCCGTT